ACACAAACATGTAAACCATAGCAATAATGCATCTATAATGCTGATAATGCTGAATTGAAGACAAGAGTATGTATTTTATTGTGAAGTAGCATGAATCAGCCATATCTGGCCACAACTTGGTTTTCTTTTTCTGGCCTAGGCTAATAGGTTCCAAAATTTTGTAAAGTTTTTAAAAATATCAAAAAGAGAAACACTTCAAGACATAACATTTATATCAAATTAAAATTTTAGTGTTCATAAATAAAGTTTCTATTGTACAATCACACTCATTTATTTGCATATTGTCTCTGGCTGCTTACAAGCCACAGCAGCAAAATGGAGTAGATTTGATAGGGGCTGTGTATATTTCTCTATGGCTAAAGTATTTACTATTTGGCTCTTATAAAAAAGGAAAAAGAAAAAAAATTTCTGCCCCTGTCCTAGACTATGTGGACTTATTAAAGATCATTGTCTTAGTTTTGATTCTGGTTCTTTTTTTTTTTTTTTTTTTTTTTTTTTTTTTGGGCTATGGCCTAGACTAAATTATTTGGACTTCTCCTCTCCCAGGCTGGAGTGCAGTGGTGCAATCATAACTCACTGTAACCTCAAACTTCTGGGCTCAAGCATCCTCCTGTGTCACCTTTCTGGGTAGCTAGGACTACAAGTGTGTGCCACCATGCCCTGCTAAATTTTTATTTATTTGTTTATTTATTTTTTGTAGAGAGGAGAGTCTCACTATGTTGCTCAGGCTGGTGTTGAACTCCTGACCTACAAATAATCCTCCTGCCTCAGCCTCCCAAGGTGCTGGGGTTACAGGTGTGAACCACCATGACTAACCTTCTCTTTTTCATAATAATAACATAGGAGCATCATTTCCTTAATTTCATTCTTCAGTAGTCATAGAAACTTCTTGTTTCTCCTTCTGAAATTATCGAGAGATTTAAAATGTTTAAACCCTAAGGCTAGGAAATTATATCATTAGTATTCCCAGAGGATTGCTTTCGATAGATCTTCAAAGATGTTTGTGATGTGCTTAAAGCATCTGGCTGCCACAATTTTATTTTATCATTATTTAGAATTATCTTAGTGCATAGAACAATTGGAATTTTCCTTATTTGGCAGAATTGTCAAGAAGCTGGTTTAATTTTAGAGTTCCATGGCTTTCTACAAAGATAAAACACAAACTTTTACTTTATTAGTGTGTCTGTACAGCATTTGTAGTCCATTATATTTATTTGCTTACATGTGTTTCGGGAAGGCATGTAATTGCCCCCAAATCCCCATTCTTCCTTTTCTGTACAATGATATGACTTCTAATTTTTAGCTGCCCAGAATAAAGACGACATACCTCTGTCTCTTTTAATGTTAGATGTGGCCATGTGACTTAGCTCTGGTCAATGGGATGCAACTGAAAATTGTACGTGCAATTGTCAGGATGTAATGTATCTTTAAGGGAGAGGAGCTTCTTCTTTAAGTTCATAGTTCTGACTACCTATTAGGTCCAATGTGATGTAATGGTTGGAACTCCAGGTATTACCTTGGACCGTATTATACTCTTGGTAATAAAACCCATACTAGACCAATAAAAGACATAAGCCTGAATTTCTTAAATTGTTTATGTTATTGGTTGGGGACTGATTACCTTTTAGTTGTGATGGTCAGAGAGAAATAAGCTCTTGTGTTCTTTAAAGTGCTTGCTATTTTGAGGTATTCTTTTGCCACTTTCAAACATAATTCTAAATCTTACATCCTGTATTGTATTTAAAAAATTCTAAGCATGCTTTGATTATTCTTAATAAAATTCTACCCTAATTATACTCTTTTAAATCTAAATGTTTTGAATAAGGCTGACTTTATTTCCGGAGTTCTTGGATGAGCACCTGACCTTGTCCTGGTCAAACATCACTCCATCCCCTGAGCCAGAGTGATTACTTTGTGAATGTTCCTAAAATCTAAACCATAATAGTGGTTCACATTCTTGGGTCTTTTGCTGAAACTTTTGGAAAAGAAAGGCTCTCTTGCTTTTATAATTGCTAAACTATGAGGGTATATGTTTGGACCTACCCAACAGCTGATATCACAGCAAAGTGGAGTCACACTGGGAAAGAAGTCAACATGTTATCAAAGAGAAAACTCAGCTGAGACAGAGATGGCACAGGGTGAGATACAGACTGTAGCCTCTGGATCTTAAGCCTCTGTATCTAGCCAAGCCCAAAGCGAAATACTTCTTGACTAATTTTTTGAAGCACTATGTATCTTACTACTCCCCTCTCTCCCACTTTTTTATAACAATCCCATGAATTTGGGGATTTATGGGTTGACCTTATTAAATTACAGAGCCCACAACTATATTGCGAGGAGAAGAATTGCTTAACATATGTTTGCAGAATTCAGTTGAGGTAAAACCCAGGGCTGATTGATCATTATCTGATATTTCACTAATTTTATTCAAATAATTCAGAACTTATACAATAAAATGCCTATTGTCTTCATAAATCTTCCAATAAATGATGCTCCTATTGACATCGGGGATTCCATTGACATCTTGTCCTTTGGGACAAGGGAGATCTGCTGTTCTGAAGTTATCTTCAGTCAGTGCTATTTATAACTGATAAAGCTTGTTATATGAAAGATAATGTGAGTTCTGAAAATAGCCAAAATATGGTTGGAGTCAGGGTTGGAAATTGAAAGTACTAAAGGGTATGAAATAATAACGTTGGAAGTGAGTGGGGGGAATATATATTTTTTAAAAGTACCTACAGTGTGCTAGGTCTTTTGCCAAACACTTCACATACATAACTGCTAATATTACTTAAGTACATGTTGGGCCCAACCATGATGTTAAATGCTTTACATGATGTTTCTTATTTAATCCTCATGTAAGCTTACCTGAAAGACATTATTGTTCCATTTACACTTGAGAAATTAATAAATTGTCTGAGTTTGCCCAATTAAGAAGGCATGACAAGTAAGCATCCCATAAAAAAGTCAACAAAGTGTTTTCCTTCACCCCACTCATGGTTCTACCCAACCCTATTTACTGCACAAAAATCAATATGATCTCTACTTTTAGATATCCAGGGTTCCTAGGTCTCTTACTGTTCAGTACAAAGAGGTGCTTGGACACAGCTAGATGTACTATAGAAAATTCTCCCAGAGAAGTAGTTCACTTCTGTGCCACTTGGTATATTTACTAAGAGCTGGCAAGAAACAGAAAACATTAGGCTACAGGAGCTTCCTGTTTATTAAAAAAGTAGGCTTTATAGGGACAATGGAGTGTTCAAAGCCCAGATGGCAATAACTTAGGGAATTTCTATACTAGCAGCAGTGTGGGTTACTGACCTTTTAGCCATTCAGTTCATCTAGCTCCATCTTGCAGTAGAGGCAACAGGGTTATTCAGCAAAAAAATGGTTCAACATTTTGTTAATAAGTATTTAGCTCCTGAGGTGAAAGCTTTATTTGAAAGAATATGGCTTTGTTTTGTTTTGTTTTGGGCTCATTGGTTCATAGCCTTGCTTCTTCTGTTATTATCTCACTAAATCTAGGATATTCTTTGATGTGCCCCCAAACAGTAACTGATTCAACTTTCCTTTGAAATGGGCTTCTTGAGAGTGCCGTGGGCATATACTCGCTAGGACTCTCATTCTTCCGATCTATTTCTTTCTTTTTCTTTCTTTCTTTTTTTTTTTTAAGGTTAAAGTAGCAATATTTTTTATTTCTCATTTATATGAAATGAAACAAAAATTTCAACTACATTGCTATTGTAACTGTTCATAAAATCTGTTGGTTTGCCCTCAGATTTTTCAGCAGACTTAAGACACTCTTTTCCCCTTTTTATTAGAGGAATCTATCACTTAAATAGTAGAAAAAAATGGCTAAATCAAAACTCCCACATCCAATTAAAAAAAAATGCCTGATGAACATCGATCTATTTCAATGAAAGTCTCCTATAAGTTTTAACTGGGAAAACAAGCAAGTAGCTGATTGTTAACCTTGTGCATCAGTGGTAATAATCAGTATCCTAAACATTGCAGGGTCACAGAAAAAGGGGTCCCTGATGGTATTGTATTTTCTCTATTTGCTTCTCTGAAACCAATCCAGATATTGGAGTAGAGGCAATGAGTCATGAGGCTTGATGGATATACATGCTGTGGTCTGTAAATAGAGGTTGATGTTGTTGTTTAAAAGGGCATCTAACACTTTGGGCAGCAGGCTTTCATTTTATCCGCTTCTTCTCTACCTCTCAATAGAATTAGTTTTGCAGCAATGACTATATAGGAACACTGTCACATTCTGTAACTCTGTGTGACTGCCTGCTCAAGAAGCGGCTTGAAATTTCCTACCATTACAGCAGATAAAAGTCAGCTCTGTTGTAGTGCTGCAAAAGATAGGATGGACCAGGCTTGCTTCTGGCTTTTAATGAGATCACAGAAAACAATGCTAAGAGCATAATGAGGTGAGGGGTCCAGACACAGAAAATGGGGAAACAAAGGGAGATTAGCCTTATGTGCTCACACACAACTGTTCTTACCTTTGGCAAAACATTTAATCTCTTTATGCCTCATTTTGCTATTGATAAACTTGGAATACAGTAATATAATAGAGAATTTGGGGGAGGATTAAATAATTGAATAAGTATTTCTAGAGTTTCTCTATGAACATTCACCCTATTACCAAGCACCTAATATCAGCTTTGAGGATGATGATGAAGAGGAGGAGGATTATGATTATCTTTAAATGTAAACATGGAAGGGGTTATTTTGAAGTAAAAGTGCCTAAGAGAAGTTGATTCTTTTTTCTTTAATGTTCCGTTAAAATGTAACAACGGTAGCGATACCATGTTCATTTTTCTCCCTGTGAATTAATCAAGCAGGTTTGTGTTATTATATTTACATGTGAGGAATATGGGGCTCAGATAAGAAATATGACTTCCATTACTCACAAAGCTTGTGAGTGTGGAAATAGTATTTATCTCAGATGATGTGACTGTGAGTGCTATCATAAAGGAAGCAAGAAAATGTGAGAAATGATTTAATTTTTTATTATGGGAGTTGAAATGAGGGGTGCCTAGGGGAAATGCACTGTTTCCCAAGAAAGGAGAGTTAGGATGAGACACAAGATTGTGGGTATATTCTGGAGTCTAGGAAATGCAGGGACTGGACACCTCAGAGTGACAAGATAGTCACCTGGCTGATTCCTGCTCACACTACAAGACTCAGCTGCCAACATGTCACTTCTTCTGAGAAGCCTTTTCTGATTCTTCAGTCCAGGTTTGACCACTTCCTCCTTTCACAGCAGCCTCTGCTTCTCCTTGAAGCATTTTCATGTTTATAGTTGGTCTCCCAATGGATTGTCAACTCTGAGAGCAGATGTCCTCACGACTGTGCCTTAGGCTAAGTGCTATACCTGGATTACAGCTGGGACTCAGTGCACACGGTTGCTGAATGAATGAGAAAGAGGGAGGCTGGGGCTCCCAGAAAGGCAGGTTATGCCACGTTATCTCTCAGCTCTCATGCTTCTGTGGTCTTTTGAGGGACCTCCAGATTTAAATATCAGTTTGTTTATAGTAAAAAGGGGTCAAATGAGGTACTCAGTCCCCAAGGGAACCAAAGGTGAACAGAAATGGCAAATTTACCACCTTAAAAATGTCATTGGGGTCTTTACAATTCAAGACAGAAGATGGATGACAACGGTCAAAAATTAAGATATGCAGTTTAACATCAATTTCCAAGACACTGAGATGCAGGAAATATTTAGAAGTCTGCAGACCACAGAACAGAGCACGAGGAAATTATTTTCGGTGAAAGCTTTCAGGGCCAGGGAAGCAAAGAAGTATGATGTGTCGGCAAACACTTCTGCAAATAAGAGCAACCTATGACTGGTGATGAAACAGGTCAAGTCTGTTTGTAAAGACTCTTCAGCTCCTCTTCTGGATCGCTAGACAAGCATTTGGTAGCCTGCCCTGCTTGCCCCTGTGAAAGTAGATCATACAAACTGGGTCATTCTTGTCATACCCAACTGAAGCAGAGTTGAGAAACCAGGTGAAAAAACACTCAAGGTATGAAACATTGCTCCAAAAACTGTAATTTTTTGCAGCTGAAGCTACCTGCAGTAACCTGAAACCAATTTTATCAAATAACTACTGAAAATACCAGCTTTAACTATCAAACTTGTTTTGTTCCACATCATCGCTTACCAATCAGAGCTTGCCAGCTCCTCAAACTTTACTAATACCAATGAAGTTTATCAAAGATCAGTACATAACATTTTTCCATTTTTATAAAACCTCTAATAGTATCTTTTTTCTTTGGAAATAACACTTTCACTTGTACCGGAGACTGTGCCTCCCCAATATGCAGATCGTTTCTTGGTGGCTCATTCATGACTCACTACAGCCTTGACCTCCAGGCTTAAGCAATCTTCCTGCCTTCGCCTCCCAAGTAGCTGGGTCTACAGGTGCATGCCACGACTCCTAGCTATATATTTTTTAAAATTTTTTGTAATATGGGGTCTCAACATGTTGCCCAACTTTTTTTTTTAAATAGATAATAAATATCTCCTTTTTTTCCTCCACAGATCTCATGGTCTTTTGTTAACATCATTTAGTCCAAATAAGTTTGTTGATTTATTTTTAACCCCAGTACATAGATGCAATTCACAGAACTCATATTTTTATAAAGTTTTTCTAGTATAACACTGCCTACAACTTATCTCTTTCTTTATTTACTAAATCTTACCCTCATTCATTTATACTATATCTGACATCTTATTTATCTCCATCAATTCAATTTATATAATTCATTTTGATTTTTGTCTACACCGTTGTGTAGCTTGTTCTTATGTTCTTTGTTAGGTACCATTTGGCAGTTTTATTACTTGATGTTATATTTCAAGTTTCGTATGTATTTTAGTTTTGCCTCTTTTTTTCTTTGCTTCTCTTACAGCCTCTTTAGATTTAAATGCAAATATTTGTGCATAGATGTTTTAGACATATATATTATATAAGGAATTTAGTGCTTTATATCTTCCATATCATGACCTTCCTTCTGTTTCTCATAAGAATTCACATAAAGAATGATGTGGAAGAAAATGGATATGGAATAAATGGAAGTGGGTCCTTGTACCCAGAGATTATTAAGCTACGGCTCTGTGTGCATTGTCTCCATTTAGCTTGTCTGAGTGTTGAGGGTACTAATGTTTCAACACATCCTAGACTCATGTGCAGTACACCTTATGTCTCAGATTGGAAAATTCCGATCTATGTGAACAGTCAAGTAAATATTGCACAGAGTTGAACAGATAAGGAAGACTTCATTCAAGACTATTGCAGTAAGGGAGAGAGTTGAATTCAACTCTACCAAAAATAAAAAATTGAGAGGATTTTTAATTACTAGGATGAGCTATGGAGAATTACTGGAGAATATTAGTGGGGAGATTGGTCAATGTCATTAGGCCATCTGTGTTTGCTAATTAGTGCTTATCAAAGTTAGAATTCTGTCCTCCAAACTTTCAAAAGGATGCTTCCAGGGTCTTGAGAAAGACATTCCTGGGTTGTGAAACTGGCAAGAGGTTAGGAGAAGATTTACACTAGAGGCAGAAAACAAATTTACAATGTCAAGTTTTCTAATGTAAATTCTTTAAGAAAAAGGAGGTGAGAAGCCATAGTCAGAAATAAACTTCTCTAAAGGTTAATAGAGATTAGGGTAATGCTAATTAGGTCCATCTTGCTGAAAACCCATTGTAATAGTACTCCAATGGGGAGTCTGTATTCTTGCCCTGGGCTCATCTTGATGTTGGACTTAGCTTGACATATACCCTAAATGAATCCAAATGTCTCTCACATTAATGAGAATCAAATAATTTACTGATGATACATGGACAAGGATTGACATGGAGGAAACACAACCATTTACTCAAAGTTGTCATTTCGATCTCTGTCTTTGTCTTATTCCTTGTGTGACAACCGTTTTTTCCCTTTCCCCTCATAAGCCACCAGAAGCCCTGGTGTTGTCTGAGACAATTCATTTTAATTCACTGTATGAATAATCCCTTCAATAAAACAAGACCTTTGAGTTACCTGGACAACAACTATCTACTGGTATGCAAATATGCACCTTGGGGAACTTAGTTTATCTACAGATGAGATTCCTGGGTTTCTTCTGTTTTCTATTGGTCCCATTTTTCTAAGGAGAACTTTAGGGCAACTCTATATGTTATTATTTTATTTGTCCTCTGCACAAATGTATGTATATTAGATGGTATCCACATTCTCTCTCATGCTAGCTGGCTGATCTAAGGGCGATTTTAATATTTGATTTTGTTTAAGGTTAGAATACCGTTACTAAATTTGTATCTTTGAGCAAGCCACTTATTTTCTATGATGGTCAGTTTTATATGACAACTTGGCTAGGCTATAGTTCCTAATTATTCAACCAAACACTAATTTCAGTGTTGCTGTGAAAATATTTTGTAGTTTTTTTTTTAATGTTCATAATCAGTTGACTTTGAGTAAAGCAGTTTATTTTAGAAAATGTGGGTGGCCTAATTCAATTAATTGAAAGTCCTTAAAAAAAGAATTGAGGGTTCCTGGATGAGGAAGTTCCACCCGTGGGCTGCAACTTCAGCACGTTCTCAAGAATGCCAGCTTGCTCTTTCTGATGGCTCATCCTATATTAATTTTATAGGGCAGCTGTAACAAATTACTACAAACTCATTGACTTGAAACAACAGAAATGTATATTCTCACAATTCTGCAGGCCAGAAATATGAAATCAAGATATTGGCAGGACCATACTCCCTCTGAAGGCCCAGCAGAGAACTATTGTTTTTGCCTTTTCTAGCTTCTGAGAACTCTAGGTATTCCTTGGTTTGGGCCTGAAAAACTCCAGTCTCTGCCTTCATCTTCACATGGCCTTTTCCTCTTCTTCCTGTTGTCTCTTTTCTGTGCAATTCTTATAAGGATATACATTATGTAGGGTGTGTCTAGATAATCCAGGATGATCTCACTCTAGATAATTAACTTAATCACATCCACGAATACCTTTTTTGCAGATAAGGTTACATTCACACTTACTGGGAGGGAGGTAGGACTTTAACATCTCTTAAGAGGACACGATTCACCCCATAACATCCCTCAACACATGTCTTCTGCTTGTTTTGTTTCTCTGACTGAATCTTGACTGATATACCCTCTTTGTATCTTGTTTCCTCATCTGTGTAATGATGGGATGAGTAGAAACAATGGTGATCTTCCAGGTCCACTTTAAATAAATATAGTTTTTAAAAAGCTTGTGGGTCAGTTCTTCTAATTTTTAAATTGTTGCTTAAAAATTCTACAATAAGCATAGAATGGGAAATCATTAGTAATACTGAGGCTGATTTTATTTTCTTCAATAATTAATAAGCTAGAATCTATCTGCACCTGACACTACTGTATTGGTAGCAATCTAGCTTCTCAACTTTACAGAATAAGATTTTCCCCTTTACTTTGTATGCTTTCCTACCCAGATTACACAGAAAAAGTATAAATAGAGAATAACTTTGCCTTGTCAGTTCTGTCAAATATTGGCATTATCTCTATGGTGAGAGATTTAACAAAGATCAGAACTTATTTAGAAAATTCTCCATCTCAACACTTTCATAAGGAAGTAACAACTTAGTAAAATTTCCCTCCCTCCTGATGTGTCTAAATTCCAGTCCATTTTTTGTTAAAAGGATATTGAAGAGGTAAGCACATTTTCTGCTGTCTCATAAAGTCATCTAGCAATAAATTATTTGTACTAAAATTGAAAGGTCTCAGAGAAATCAATTTTTGATGCAAAAACATTATTTTGCAACTTAGTGAATGAATGTGACTTTCAAATGTTTAAAATTATACTGGAAAATTGACCCTGAGGGCCAAATCTGAGATGCCTGCTAGTAAAATACAGGGGTGAAGTCTCATCCATATGGTCAAATCAATATCCTTGCATGGGACAGTGAATATTTTTTTTCTAATCAATATGTTTTCTTCCCCTCACACATATGCAGAATGAATACTTCCAGATGTTTATTAAGTCATATTTTGCTTGAAACACACCTTGCTAGGAAAATCAGTATTTATAATGGGAGGTATATGGAAAGATGTCAAGATAATGTCTTTTGTGATTCTAAATAGATTACATTCATAGTTACATATGTATATGTATATACATACACAAATATGTGTTTTCCTATATTACTGTCATAGTAAAACTTATTTTAGAAATATTAACTAAGTATTAAGAATATATCATCACTCTTAGTCAAAACAAATACAGAGGAACCAAGTTATAATACGTCTTATTATTGCAAGGCATTTTACAGAGATTTAGTTAATAATGACATACAAAACTTAATAGTCATTGTTCCATGACACTAATTAAGATGAATTGGATTAATGCAAACTAGAAGGAATTTTGACTAAGATAATATTTAGAAAAAATTGCTTAATTTTTTCACAGAGCTACTTATATTCAAAATTTCCTATAGGTCTTCTTTTAAGTGAATAGATTAGGATGGTTGGTCACTTGTATATGAAAAAATAAGTCTAAGAATATTACTGTCACATTGTTTGTGAGTAAATGGACATTTTAAGAAGATAAAGTAGATACATTTTAAATTGTGTAGGACTGTTTGCTAATGTTCACCAATCCCAGACTATGTTCATGCAGGACAGTTAATTTTACTCTGTGTTAGTCATATATCTATTCAGTTGAACCACGTAAATCAATAAGAATAGGAATAGAAGAGAACACATCCACCATGGCTGCAGAAACTCTTTTGATATTGTGTCTATATTGTTGTCCTCTTCAACTAAAGAAAAAAGTAGATTATGTAATGAGACACTGGTGTTTACCTCTTAAATGAAGATCTATCTTTTTAAAAAAATTTCAGAAAAATGCTTAAAACACTTTTTAAAAAATTTCTAAGAAAATCTCTCCTACAAATGTCGTACAATGTTCTTGAGTTTTCTCAGTCAACTTTTATTTACTATAGCCAAGAAGGAAAGAAACCAACTACTATATGTGTTTATTCTCAAGTCTAATTAGGCAAAGTAAAATTTGTCATATTTGATTTTATAAAGCTAAATGCTGGTAAAAGATAGTTTCTTTCTTTTTCTGTTTTTAAATTGGGTGTCCTAATTAAGTTTTCTTTTTTTAAAATTGAAAGATAATTACTTTAAAACACAGAAAGGCTCTATGGTTTGGCATCATTGTTGTTCATCTGTTTGAAACTCTTTCTTCTTTCTTTTTCTTCTTTGCTACCCAAGGAATGTGTTCTGAAACTCTCCATGGGGAAAGGTTAGTTATTAAAAGACTCAGGCTAAGTAGTTCAAAAGGTACACTTGTCCATTATTACTCTATGTGGTTGTATAAAAGAAGATTCTATTTTAAAAACCTGAGCAGTTGTATTAAGTGACAACAAAGTATCTTTCTATTTCTACCTGCAGTGTAAATAAAGTTTATATAAAAGGGGCTGACGTGAAAGAGGAGTATGAATGTTCTTTAACAATCATTTTGGAATAGCTGCCATTATTTTTTTTTCTTTTTACATAATTCCATACAAAATCCACACCAAGGCACACTGGGACAAAGAGCATGTTAAAGTACATGTTTCTGCAGGGTAAAAACTTGCTAAAAAGCAATTTTTGAAAGTTAGAATATAAGATTGTGTCTGTGTGTGAGTGTGTGTATTTGTGTATTTGTGTGTGGTTAAAACAGGAAGCAATGGAAAGGGTGGAGAAAGAGGAAGCAAGTAGAGTATATGGGAGTTATGAGACCTTGCTCCAAAGGCCGAACAGCCAGGTAGAAATTAAATGTGGACTTCATTTTGCTGCAAATGAAGCCAGGTTGGACTATGGTCTTCCTGATGCTTCAGGTAGATCCTAACATCAGCAACTGGACCTACAGAGCAGATGCCTCTCCATCCAGCCAATTGGAGGACCATAGCCTGCTCATTGCGCAGTAGAAGTTTTTCATTTTCATTACGTGTTTAAATGCTATGACATTAAGGCTTCCATTGTTGTTATTGTTACTATTGAGCTGAGAGTAGGCAAACAGACAAGGAGGGCAGGTGATAAAGTTTGAGAGGCATGCAGTGACCTCTCTGGGGCCTTAAACCAGTCCTCTCTCATCTCTGTCTTGTTTCCCTCAGCTAAGGAATAGGATATTATGTCATATTATAATGAGGATTAAATGAGTCACATATATTAAAAATTTTAAATGGTCTTTACATAGTAATTGATAAATAAGTGTTAACAAATATGCTAATTTATAAATTACCAGAAGTTTATAAAGACTGCCCAATTCATTGTCTTGAGAATGTGGTTCGTTTTACAAATATCTGTTAATTTGATAGTCCAGGAATTGTATTTTTTTGGTGCATTTCTTGGTTTCTTTAGTGAGTTTGAGCCATAAGCACTCTGAAGACAACAAATGAGCTTATTAGTTTTGTATCTCCAGTCTGGCACAGTGCTTTATCCATATTTATTTACTAAATATTTGTTGAATGAATGAACCATTGAAACATGAGAGTGGATGGAAAACAAAGTACTATTTTTCTCTTATTGAGTAAGCCCAATAGGGTCGGAGGCAACATGGCAGTCGGGCCACTCTTTCCAGTGTCCTTAGATTATGACATTTAAATTTGATGTGCTTATAAGCCTGACAAGACTATGAGGCCCTTGGGTCTAAAGAAGACCTATGTCTCCAGGTGAGGTGAGGCTTCTACCCTAAAGCCTTGGTTCTGTCCCTAGCATTACTGCTTCTTCTCTGTATGACATGGGACAAGTCAATTCTTGTCTTCGCTTTAATTTTCTTAACTAGAAAGTAAGAGATTTTATAATGTTTCCTTCCAAGAAAGTGTATAGAAACTAAGTTTCCTAATGGGAAGTTTAGTATTGGGGAAAAAAAGTTAAAATGTTCTGATTTAGCATTTAAAGATTTATGGGTATATACACAATCTTAAGTTTCAATAAATATACTTAATAATTGTCATTCGTTTATCGTCATTCAGTTATTGCCTTATACCATTCACTTCCGGAATATTTAAATCAGGAAACATTAGTAGCATCTCAAATCATGCTCCTAAAGCTATCTCACTTAATATTAATGAGTAATAGTTGCTAAAATCAATATAAAGTTTTAATATGCCCCTTCATGTATCTTATTTATTAATTCATTCAAAACCATTTATTAAAATGGTTTTTAAAAACATATTTAAAAGAACATGCCTTTTTACATTGGTCCTTTGATTGCCTGAGGCATGTCTGAATTGACCATGGTTGTGGGATGTAAAGCTTAAATTTGCCTGAGATTCTAGAAGTAGCTACTTCTCTCAAGGATGACAGACTATTTGTGTTGGTTTGAACAGTGGATGACAGAGTGCTCTTCTTAAGATCTGGTGAGTCGCCAGGAGAGCAACTGTGCCCTGACAGAAATTATACTCTGTTAATTAAATTATCATCTATACACGTAAAACCTGGAGAGCATATTTTCATCAATAGAGATATCAACTCTGCCAACCACAGGGAACTTTCTTTTACATTATTGATGACTTGGCCCTGATGTTTTGTTGATGAATGTCAATTCATTTTAGTTATTGAGTGGAGTCTCCTCAGGGTTTCAACCACTAATTCATCAATGGTAAATGTTGGAAGAAAATATAAAATTTGGATTTTAAAATCTGACAGCATTTTTAAATCTTCAGACCCCAAAACAGCGAGACAGAGTGATGAACTTTTCTGTTGCAAATGTGAAGATATACGTTTCATTGCATTTCATATACATTTTCTGTAATAACCTTATTAAGATATGATTAATATACCATACAATTTACCCACTTAAAATACACCATTTAATAGTTGTTAATCTATTCACAGATATGTGCCATCACCATATTTTAGGATATATCTGTCATCTCAAAACAAACAAACAAACAAAAAAGAAAACACCATTTAGCTAAATAACATTTAGCTATCCCCACCCTATTTCCCATTCTCCATATCCCACCCCAGTCCTAGCCACCACTAATTTATTTTCTGTCTCTACAGATTTGCCTTTTCTGGACATTTCATATAATGGAGTCATAGATTATGTGGTCTTTTACAACTGACTTTTATAATTTGGCTTAACGTTTTCAAGCTTCTGGGTAATCATCTAATACCCAGAATCTAAGCACAGGAAGACTTCACCACATCTAATTATCACAATGTAGTCACATGGCACTCAACTTTGGCTGTACCTCAAACTTACCTATGTGGCTTTTTAAAAATAAAGGTGCCTTGGTTTAGTCCAGATGTAGTGAGTCAGATTCCCTGGAGATGGGTCATGCATGAGTCTCTTAAACTTGAAAATCTCCAGAATTCGACCCTTGGAGTGCCATTTGTAATGTTTTAAGCATAATGTAAGTAGACTCTTCAGGATCAGTACTCACATTTGGTACTTTGTGCCAAAGTACCTTAAGCTAAAATGTGACAGTTACATGGAATGTAACCTATTAACAGCTTTTAGCTTTCTAATTCCAAATAGTTTACTGCATTGTCAAAAACTACCAGTAAAGCTCTGAGGGGAACTTGGGAAGGTCTAAGTTTTGTGGGGCACAGAAGTTCACACATTAGATAAAGTTGGAAAACTGATGATTTTAGAAATTTTACCAAGAAACGGAAAACCTTTGATTGGGAGATTTGGAGCAACCCCAAAGCAGACTTGGTTTCACTATTTTGCCTTGGGCTAGCCAAGTTCACTGCTTAGTATGGAGGAAGCAGATGCAAATGTAGTAGTATTAATTTCCCAAAGGCAAAAATTGAGAGACTGAAATTCAGTGATGGAGGACTGGGTCAGATGTTCTCTTTGTGTAGAGATTTTGGGATTTGACAGAATTGCTGCTGAGCTGAGGATGTTTATCTCTGAAACAGAAATGGTGGGTTACAAGGTGAAAAATTCTATCAATCAGATACATTTGTGTGAACCAAATCTATTTGATTGCTATTCTTTCTCCCTCTGGGTTGACCTGTTATTTTAGTGTTATGTAGGCACAGGTTGAATTACCAGTCAATTTAAGACAATTGTGGGCAACAGCTCATCGGTTCAATAAAAAAATCAATTGAACTTGTCTTCTGTGATGGAAAGTATAAAAGCTCTCCAATTATGCGTAACTTTAAATACATGTGTTGTCATTTCATTGCCAGCCAGACTTTGCTGGTTTCAACTATTGAAAAATATCAAGTAAATTTCCCATTTTGGGGAAAACCTCTTTTCTATCAACTCTGAATTAGTTTTCCACCCCCTCCTTTTTTAATCAAATTGCACAATAGGCCAGGCGTGGTGGCTCACGCCTGTAATCTCAGCACTTGGGAGGCTGAGGTGGGTGGATCACCTGTGGTCGGGAATTTGAGACCAGTCTGGCCAGAATGGTGAAACCCCGTTTCTACTAATAATGCAAAAATTAGTCAGGTGTGATGGTGGGTTCCTATAATCCCAGATAATTGGGAGGCTGAGGCAGGAGAATCACTTGAATGCGGGAGGCAGAGGTTGAGGTGAGCTGAAACCATGCCATTGCACCCCAGCCTGAGCAACAAGAGCAAAATTCTGTGTTCAAAAAAAAAAAAAAAAAAAAAAGAAAAAGAAAAAGAAAAAAAATTGAACAGTAACTTTTTTATGTAAAAGTCTTTAGAAATTCATCCTTTATTACACCCCAGGAAAGCACTACTGAAAATCATTTCCTTGCTAGTGACATTTGGTGTTCCCTGGTTGTCCATCTGGTTAATCAATTAAAAAAAAATGTGGAAAACAGCCTTGTTTGACTTTCCATGTTTAACATACTCTTCATTGAGTTCTTAATAAATGATTGCATTTCTGCATAACAAGAAGGATAACAAAATGTACAATGAGGTCTTTATTCAAGGTAGATCAACATGAGTTTAGGACAATCAGAATCTTTAAGTTTTGCTTGGTATACTTCTGCAGGGTATCTGTTTGGATAAATAAAATCTAAGTGTTATTTCATTATTGGCTGATATTATTCGAAAATTATATAAAAATCAGAAAAAATAATTTAAAAACACAACGTATTTCTCAAACTAGACTTTTTAGTACAGCCATTTATGGAGATTGCAAGGATTTCTTAGGGAAAAATGTCATAAATATCCCATTGAGACAAAAATATTTTCATGGGGCTTTAGCTCATAGATGGAGTTTTGGCAATAAGTTTTACTTTTGTTTTTGTTTTACACTTTACGTTGAATACTTTTATATCTTACCCTAACAGGAAACAAGATTCAGGATTTCTGCAATCCTTATTGGAAAGAAAAATTACTCAAATGTTTACTGGATGGTATAAGAGTCACAGTGTGCTGATTTGAAAGATTGGCTTCTTTTAATTTTATCAGGCTCAGTTATGTGCTTTTGGGTGGGACATAATGACTAAATGCTTGAAATCACCAGAGGGTCAGTAAGTCATTGGTAAATAAAGTAGTGTGCATGAGGGGGTGATATATAGATATGCCATTTTATATATATGTATGCATATACATATATATACACACACACATATATACACATATGTATATACACACACATGTATATATAAACACACACAAACACACAAAATACATTTTAATTTAAAACCCAACCTTTATTCAAGAAAGAACGAACAAATTTCTTTCTTGTTTTACTGTTTTCAGTGACTACTCTGTTATAAAGAAGTAAGATAATGTGGGGATTACACAATAATTGAATAGATAAGAGTTTTTCTTTGCTTTGAGGCTTCACGGCCAGACTCCTCTGCTAACTGAAAGGTGCTTTCAGAGATAAAGTAACTAAAATGCCACATTTGATTTAAAACAATAAGAAGGTTGAGGTATTTGCATATTGCTTCTATTGTTTTGTCTGATAAGTGTGAATAGTATTTATCTGTTTTACTAATACATTAATTTGATACATCTGAAAAACAATTTCAGTGAATGTCCTGAATGCTCTGCATATTATAAATTATCCAGGTAATTACATCTGTTACTTGTTTTGTTTGTAGTGATCAGACCAACAGTCACTTTTTGAAAAGAAGAACATCACTAAATTTTGAGTGAGAACTAGCAAAGCTGGTTACATAGTGAAGAGATCTTTTTCTCTTTTGTCTCCATTGAATCATAACACAAATAGATTCTGAGAATTAATATGTGATTTTGTTTAGAAGTGAAATCAGGAAGGTTTTAAAAATCATTTTAATTATCTTATTAATTGTATTTAGCAGTTATAAATTGGGGTTTCCTGTGTCGAAATTCTTCTACAAATATATAACCTGTTAAACTGTATTGGCTCTTTCACTAGTATTTTCTTTTTAATTACTAGTCATTTTCAACATTACAAGTTTGGGTATTTCTTGTAAAATTTTATATTTCTGGCTTCTCTTGAAAAATAAGAAGACTTGGGAAATAGTCCCCGTTTGTCTGCATAAAAACAATTGATTGGAGCTGGGTAGCAGACTCCAAATTTAGAAAAGAGAAGACCCCCATTTTGCAATCATTTCTTCCACTCCCCTTTTTCTTCCCTAAATTGAGATTGATAGTTGTTTCCATTTATTTTCCTGCAGCCAAAGAATAATGAAAATTATGGAGCTTTTAATCTAAGAAGGCATTTGTAGATATGACATCTAACTCCTTTGAGCATATGGAAATCAAAAGACAGTTGTCTAATTCCGCTCCTTCAGGGTGGAGTGAGAGAGTAAGGTCAGGAGAGCATCAGAGAAGTCCTGACCACAACTTCAAGGGGCAACCGCCTTAATCCCTGTTTCTGCAGTGGAGACGGGGGTGAGCACCTTAACTTCTTATGGCTTTTGTGAATGCCTCTGAGGTCGACCCAGAGTCTTTTTGAGGCTAACCACAAGGCCACATTACACAGTAAAGGAGAAGTTAATCTATTTCTATTTTCGAGTTGAATTTTGTTATATTGTGTGTTATTTTGAAGAAATGTAAAGTACCAATTAAAAGTGTGGAATCTGGGATCAGATTTATTGGATTTAGCAGCCCAGATTCATTAATAGGTGCTTAATTTTATAAATCCTGAGGTTTGGCAAGTCCAAGAGTTTCAGCGTGGCCACCAGGCTGGGCACTCAGGAAAGAGTCACAATTTTGGTCCAAAGGTGATCTGCTTACAGAACTCATTCTTGTTCCAGGTAAGTCTGCTTTATTCAAAATGTACTATTAAAATTTTAATCACATCTAAAAAGTGCCTTCACAAAAATATCTAAAACAATTTTTGACCAATTTCCTGGGTACTATGACCTAGCCAATTTGACACATCATATTAACCCATAACACACTATGAAGTATATGATTTTATTAATTCAATTTTTAAAAATGTAATTTTATTTTTAAATGGACACATTGTAATTTTACATGTTTGTAAGGCACAAATTGATGTTTCAGTATATTATTATATAGTATATAATCATCAAATCAGGGTGGTTAACATATCTATCATTTCATGCGTGCCTCATTTCTTTGTTGTAAAAAATACTCAAAGCCTCTCTTCTAGCTATTTTATAATGTATGTACCTTACTGTTAACAATAATCACTGTACTTTTCAATAGAACACCCAAACTTGTTCTTTCTCTCTAATTGTAACTTCGTACCCATTGACCAACCACTTCTCTTACTCCTCTTCTTCCTTCCCTCCCCAATCTGTGATAACCACTTTTCTACTCTCTGCTCTTATGACATTTTTTTTTAAGGTTTAACCTATGAATAAGATCACGCAGCATTTGTCTTTTCTGTTTGGCTTATTTCACTTAACATTATGTCCTCCAGCTCATCCATGTTTTCACAATGATAAAATTTCATTCTTTTTTATGGTTATACCACTGTGTATATGTCATATTTCCTTTATTCATCTGTTGTTGAACATTCAAGTTGATTCCATAGTTTGGCTATTGTAAATAGTGCTGCAATAAACATGGGAGTGCAGATATCTCTTCAAAATATTAATTTGTATATAAGAATAGCTACTCATGCTCACTTTTGTTTTTCATTGGCGTGATGTATTTTTTCTACCCCTTTACCTTGAGTCTATAAGAATTCTTACGTTTTAGTTGTGTCTCTTGAAGACAGTAGATATTTGGTTTGTGTATTATTAATTTAATCTGCCAATCTGTATCTTTCAAGCAGAGAATTTAGACCATTTACATTCAATGTTAATATTGAGATGTGAGGTATTATTTTAGTCATCATGTTGATTGTTACCTAGTGACTTTGTTTTCTTCATTCTGTTATTATTTTATAAGTCCTGGAAATTTTATGCTTCTGGGAGTTTATATTCCAGTGGGTATCAATCTTTTGTTTCCAGATTTAGAACTCCATTTTGCATTTCTTGTAGGGCTAGTTTAGTATTGACAAATTTCCTCAGCATTTGCTTTCTGAGTAACACTATATTTCTCCTTCATTTATAAAACTTAGTATTGCTGGATATAAAATTCTTG